TTTTTGACAAGAAAAAGTTGACAAGGGCATTTTTTTAGTAAAAAAATTTAGCGTTTTGGTTACAAATAGCAGCCGAGGAAGTCGATTGTTGCTATAATAACAGTTGCAACAATAGCCTAGTGCTGTGTGGTGCAGAAATGTCAGGTAATCAGAGACTTACTTTCTTGTATCTCAGAGTTGCTTCTCATATCAGAAGAGACAGATTAAGATTATATAGCTGTAAAGAAGCTCACATTCTGACGCTTGTGAGTTTCCGAGATGGTTAAAGAAATTGAGGTTACAGGTTAGTTGTTTAACGCCCACCTCCTTTAGTTATGACCACTGGGCTCGTCAGTGAAATATTTCACAGACTGGTGCAGAGATAAAACACCAAAAAAATAAAATGTAACTAAGGTCAAAGGAAAACTGATCACCATAATGGTAACAAAACCACTATTTACAGTAGATTCCACAATTATACAGTACCTAGCCTAGAATCAGTCTGAATAAATGCTTCATTAATGATAAAAGGAAATATGCTGTTTTCTCTCACTCCTTGCACCTACAGCCACACTGATGAAATATACTGCAAATTAAATTACAATTTAATTAAATTAGCTTTGTTTTGGGAAATTTTATCTGAAATTTAAGACCACATTCGTGAGGAGCTCAGCTATGAAACCACTACCACAGCTTTCTTTTGGACATGTTTAGAGACCATGGCACACAGTTGTGCTTGATTTTTTTTTCAGTTTTCAGTACATCAGCTTTGGTTTGTGGTCATTTTATATGGAAATTTAGTTCACAACAGACTCACGAGGAGGTCTTTGTGACCACATAACCACAGGCTCACCACTGACCTCCTTTTTTTTTAAACAACATTTTCCATTAAACAGTACCACATAAAAACAATCGCTGCACAAATGTTTCCAAAACTAGATTGAAAATGTACTTAATTTAATTGATACTTTAACACATATCAATTAAGATGCAGTATTTGTTCTTTCTCAAAACAAAACAAAAATAATACAGAAAATACTAAAAAGAAAAAGAAAATACAAATATTGTGAAAATAAAAGAAAAAGCTTAAAAAAAAGTTTTGGGGTCCTTCCTCAAAATTCACAGTTTATTTGGACTCTTTCTTGATCTCAATGCATTGTTTTTGTTTATAGATTTACTACAGACTATACTCTTAGGTCTTCTGAAAAATGCATTCATCTATAAGAGGTTTAGTTATTCACATTTGGTCATATTGAATGTTACATACATGTACATGGTTGGAAGTTAAGCTGCATAAACAATGCCCCATTCGGACAGGTTGGGTTTTGTGTCTGTCAGCTACAGATGATTCTGGGATGTATAGGCAAAAGACACATTACATTTGTTCATCTTAATGGATGTATAGTATTTATATTGTACTTATACTGATCAGGTCAGGTGTATTTGATGTTACATTACAGAACAGCAGCATTGGTCGGGATAGTCAACAGCTTTCACTTTAAACTCATTTCCATACACATAGTAAACATTAAGCTTTCCTTTCCACATGTAGTTCACTTTGGTTATGGCAATGAGCTCGATTGTCTGCCTCTGAAACAGATTACAGAATGACAGATTCAAGATCTAGTTACAGACCGACTGGTAATGATATAGCAATGTTTGTGCATTACATTGTTGTGTTTTAAAACATACAAATTATAATTGGAAATTAGGGATGCACTATATTGGATTTTTGCCGATATCCGATATGCCGATATTTTTCCAAGTCATTTTGGCCAATTGCTGATGCCGATACCAATATATTTCATTTTGTTTGGAAACAACACCAAGTCTCTTTTTAAACAAATTATAATTTTGTTTTGGTTCGTTTTTAACAAACTAGAATTAAATAAACACTAATGAGAGTACATTAAATGCTTTGAAAATAGCTATAAATAGCTATAAATCAATCACTGCAGTTTTTTTTTAGACAGATGCAGTGGTAACCTTAACGTTTTATTTGTAGAGTTAACATTTGTAAATGGCCTAAAGCAAAAGAGAAAAATCTATTAGACCTCCTTGTATTTAAGTTTTCATAATCTATTTGACAAAATATTACACATTAATGAATAAATCTGTATATATACAATTATTTAATTTACAAGTGTCACGTTTGTGATATTTTATTCATGTAAGCTATAGCTTCTGACCTTTAAACCAAAACATACTTAACAGTGACTTGCTGCCACTTACTGGTGGATTGAATTTCACATTTAAAGTATCTTTTAATTTTTTTAATAATTAAAAAATATCACTATTCAACATTTCATGTTTTAAATATCAAAACATTATTTATGCATTTGTAACTGCAGGCTAAATCATCCCATGTCCCTCTAAGCTGCATTAGCATGTGTAAATGCATCTAAATGCCACTTCATATTCAACTTCTGCAAAGATGAATTTTATTGATACTGATTTCATTTGTTTAGTAACAGCCTTAATGTAGTATTGTTATAATTGCCTGATTAAATGTAAGAATTTGACTCAAAAGATGATGTACACTTTTAGTAAAAATGGATTTATAAAGGTAAAAATACCCATAAAAGGTAAAAATCAATCTAAACTTATTGGAAAAGATTGAATGGCCGATAACTTAAAAATTTAGTAGCCAAATTGGCTGGTGGGTAAAAAAGTTAATTTCAATCCCTGTTTAGAAACATAACAGCAAACCTCTCCTCATACTGCAGGATTCATGTATATAGCACAAACAGTGACTGAGCTAGTTAATATAGTAATATCCATGCCTGCCTTAGCAAACATGAATGTTATATCCAGGGGTTAAATTGGGATTTGTTATGTGGGGTTGATTTCATGCTTTCAAGGGGTGCAGCCTACAAATTCTTATATCAGTTGGCAAACTGTAAAATGTAACCGGTTGAGAGAGCTTGAATTAGTAAGAATGAGAAGCGTATAAAAAATTCTTTTTTTTCAGTTTACATTTTTCTGGACTCTGTTTTAATGTTTAAATTAAATCTGATTAATCAAAAAGCATGTCTAATTAATTGAAACCATGAAACTTATACAACAAAACAGTAATTTATTAAAAGTTCAGCAAAAAATAAACATTTTTTAGGGCGCTATGAAATATGTTTATTTTTTCTCAAATTATGTTTGTTAGTTTATTTATGTATTTCAGAAATTTTGTGTTATGTACTTACATTTTTCTGGTAATCAAATGATTTATATTTATGCATTTATCTTTTAGTCAAATTAAAATTAAACCAACCCTTTAACTTTTGGCAAACAAAGTGCTGCACAACAGAGGTTTACTGTTAAAATATGGAAGACAAATTGTGTGATTATTCTTTAAAAATAAAGTTTTCATATAATTTTAGTAGTAGTAGTAGTAGTAGTAGTAGTAGTAGTAAGACATACATTCTACTGTACCATGGTAATATATTTCTGTCATAATTTCTTCAAGTTAAACCAAACTTTTATTTTGACGGGTTGCCGTGGAGAGTTATGTGTGTGTGTGTAAATGATATGACGTTAGATTTTCTCAAATTAAATGGTCAAATGAGTTTGTGTTGCAGATTAAACTGTGCGTCTGCACCATGCATTCACACAGAGACACACAGAACATGCAGTATT